TCAGCTGCCGCCCAAGGATCAGGCCTCAGCGATTACTGGTCATTGGGTGGAACGTAACGACGCTAAGCATATAGCAGCGAGACGGGGTCTGTGCCAATCTGAACGGCTTTATCGGTAGGGAATTGAGTGTAGAAAAGAATCAGCTAGGCATGACGGCTAATGCTTGCAAATTGCTTCCGGTATTTTTAGATTTTGATCACGGTCTAGCTGGGCCACCTAACAAAGACGCAATGGTCACTGTTCACAGTGGTCAGTAAGACTAATTGAAAGAAGAAAGGTTGCGTTTCAGCGTGATGCTGATAACACTGAATTTGCTAATTGTTTGACATCCGTTTATGACTATCGTATGCTTACGATCGTTGGTAATTTGCTAATGTAAAATAAAATTATATTAATCTAAAGCTAAATGGTATATCGAGACACTTGAAACGCCTGATCGCTTTCTATAGATTGACATCAGAAATATGAATAACTTGCGGGAGGCGTACAAGACGAAAAGAGGCGGTTAGGTCATAGGTGAGAGCATGGGGCTTGTCTGGATCTACAGGGAGAAAGGCTTTAGACATTGGTGTTAGCGGCGGGCAGCTGGCGGACCAAGACAGCCAGGTGGAGGCTGCGCCCCCGCCGAGGTCTGGGCGGCACGGCGGCGGGGCGGCGGGCCGACCTTTCGTTGCTGACCTGGCCCGGCCTCGCTCCAGTTCCGGTCGGAGTGAGAGACCGAGTGGAGAGATAAGATCGCGCACTGAGCGAGCTATGGCCGCTGTCGGATGCTGCAAACTCTGCTGCGGCGTCAGCTCTGAGCCGCACACAGCTGTGCTGGTATGTTGTGTGTAACGAACTTATGTAAGCAGGCCAGCTGCAATGGCATGGGCGGAGAGCAGCATCATTCGCCACGCCCATGTCATTGTTCTTTTATTCAGGGGTACAGTCCAGAAAAATAATTTTAGAACATAGGCGAAAAGTAGGTTTTAGGTGAAATTTGTCTAAAATGTGATCTAGTTTATCCGTGAAATCGGTATACAAGAACAGTAAAATATGTGGAACACAGAGTCATAGCCCAAAAAGGAGGTAAAAAGCGTAGCTGAACCATGTCGACCCAGCAAGAAATACATTGGTGCATAAAATCCACCGGCTACCATGAGGTGTGTAGTTGCACACTGTTTTTCATCTGTGTGGCCCGGCTGAGAAAGTGACAGACAGAGAGATCTGGTAAAATGCCAATTAACCCGCGCCCCGCTGGGGGGGGGGGCAGAATCTGCCCCCCCTCCCGTTTTTCGCCAATAACTTCTAAACGCGTTACGCCAGCGACGTCAAACTTTCAGTACCTTATCATACATCAATTTGACACGTTCCCTGAAAATTTGAGCAAAATCCGTCGGAAAATTTTTGAGAAATTGACGTTTTAGTGACGTCATGTTCGCCATTTTCGCCTAAAAAACGGCAAAATTTCAAACGCCGCTAACTTCTTCATTTTTAAAGGAATCAAGACGTAACAAAAAAGGTTATACGTGATTCTACTTTGTCTATCAAATGGCTATCTCGGTTTTTTGAAAATTTTGGATTTGGGCCAAAATTTTTCCAAAAAACTGACTTTTTTGGGAAAATATTTATAAAATCCAAAATTTTGAGTTTATCGAAAAAACCGGAATATATGTCAAAGAAGTGGTCTATGTGCACCTACATACCAATTTTTAGAAGAATCGGTTCAAAAATGTGGGAGTTATTCAAAATTTCATGACGTCACGACACACAAAATTTTTGAAAAATGATTTTTATGGAAGTTCTAGACCTCTTACGGAAATAAAAATAGCACCATTCGATTCGCCGTGAAAAACTGCATCGGATAGATACCTTTTTGGGCCTTAACAACCAACTTCAAAATTTGACCTCACTTGACCTGACCTTGACCTGACCTCGACCTGAAATTCATCCAGAGGTGGTCCATATCACTTATTGAGTGTGCCTATTGAATTCCATGAGTAAAATGACCCATAAAACATGTGTCGCACATGCCCTTTTCTATATTTTGTTTTTGGTGACCTGACCTGACCTGACCTGACCTTGACCTTGACCTTTGAATGACATTGTGTGCAACGAATATTGTCTTGGTAGTCTAAGAACACGTTTTGGGCAATCAGTCTCCGTCCATTCTTCGGCAACTACGGTGCAAGGCCGATACTGTAGAAACTTGCATTTTGTACCCTTGACCTGACCTTGACCTGACCTCTGACCTACTTAAGCAAAAAAAATTGGGCTTTTAAGATCCGCCTTGTTGAGAGCTTTCGATTGCCGTTTTCCCCGTCTTTCTACGACCATCGGTTCGGAAGTTAGACGGGGGGGCAGAATCTGCCCCCCCCCCCCAGCAGGGCGCGTATGGCTGAATAGCCCAGCGGGGCGCGGGTTAATTGACGTAAGTGTTAGTAGATGGTACGGACACAGTTGACGTCTTTACATCCCGTCACATACCGCCTGCGAAAGAATAGACTGTCTTGCTTTGTTGCCGTGACTACAGCCCTGAATGGATATGTTATATATGGCTTTAGCGAAGCAGCAAAAATACACTTTTTGCGCTTCTCCGCATTCTAAATGAAATTACTATGTGCATTGAACTCAGGTGAATATTGTATCCTGCAATCAAGATACACGCACCAGTTTCCACGTCCAGCTTTATTGACGTACGTGGAATAAGGTCAGCCAGCATTCAGCAGCGATTCATGCGGCTATTCATTAAAAGGCATCACTTATTACATAGTCCATTACTTCATAGTTACATTGATACATAATATTACATACAGCACACACTATTACTCATGGCATTAATTATTAGGTTGTAGTGGGAGAACGATATGCCTATTGTTGATGAATAAATATGTTTATTGTTCATGCATTGGCCCAGAGAGAAACAAATACTGCATACTCCTAGGTCAATATATGCCAACATCAATAATAAAATTGTTTACATTCAAATAACAGCGCAATCACGATAAATCTGGACCCCTGGAAAGCTCAAACGAGTTCCAGCGGGCAGCGGCCTATGAGACATCTAACTCAATACATGCATTACTTATTACCCTTATACGGACATTTTTCTTCAATCTTCTTGGAATGGCGCACCTTTCTTCATAATTCTAACCTTCAGGCTACCAGTCGGTAAAAAGCTTCACGTGTGGGACGTCGACCTTGTTAACCTTTATTGATTTTCCTCGCCGTCGCCGTCACCGCCTCAGGCCGAATGTTGGTGCTCTAATGGCCCAGCTGCACCAGTTGCTGGCTGAAGGGCGCAGTTTTTCAGATCACGTACTGGTGCTCTCTCCATCTCTCTCTCTCTCTCTCTCTCTCTCTCTCTCTCTCTCTCTCTCTCTCTCTCTCTCTCTCTCTCTCTCTCTCTCTCTCTCTCTCTCTCTCTCTCTCTCTCTCTCTCTCTCTCTCTCTCTTCTCTCTCTCTCCTGCTCACTCTCTCTCTTTCTTTCACTTCTCCCTCTGTCTTTTCGAGTTTCCGAGTTTCTTCTTTCTCGTGTTATTTTCCTTTCTCTTCTTTGTTTTCACTCCGTCTTTTTTAGTTACGTATCGTTTGTATTTCTCTACCACTCTTCCGATTCCTTTTTCTCTCTTCCCCCTTTCGCTCCCTCTCCCTCCCTCTCACTCTCTTGTTTTTCTTCTCCTCCCCACTCTCTCCCCCAGAGAAAAAACTGACAGCGGATAGTTCCTTCCGCGGTGCCGGAATGTCGTGCCTGCCGTGGCCTTCCGTGCATGGCGCCGAGGCACGCTACCACCGGCAATGCACGAGGCTCGGCTACATTTCACAGAGCTCGGTCCGGTGGCTGGTCTCGCCCGAGAGGGTCGGTCTCAGGCACTTGTCTGGCTCCAGAGCGCTGATCTCCCTGTTGGTGCATCGTGAGAGAGATCGACAGATAGGCAAAGGCGAAGTAGATAGCTATCAAAGTGCATGTTGGGAGCTGGGCTGTTTGTGATTTGGAATTAGGAGCAAGGTGACAATCATGCTTCGTCGCTCTCTGTGTGGGGACTTTCGTAACACCGTTGGGTGGGAAATGGTGGATGGGGTGGGGTGTTTCTGCACAGTGGATGTGGCCTCGACTGTTTAGATTTACAGCGCGTTTTAGTGTGTATGTTGTCATGTTTCTATAAATAGATCATGTCCTTGTAAACGATACCTAAAACAACCACGCCGAATTATGATAAAAGATAAATGTTGATATTGGCCCAACAAACTTTTTGTTTCAGCAGCCAAAATCTTTCGTGAAGTGTGTCGTGCCAAGGAAGCCTTACTGCTACTCGTAGATATCTCCTCTGCTGCTCACCTCAGTTATTGAGTGATAAGAGCTAAGAACACGCTATGCAGATCTGGTAGTCCAAACCAAGGCCGTATAAGAGCTCCGAACAGAGAGAGCTCTGCTGGCAGAAATCCAAATGCTCACACCTCACGTTTTGACAGTACTGATCGCCGATGAAGATATGTGTAAAGTGGATGATAGTCCTGAAGTCAAATGGAGCGGTATGTGGGGTGCCATAGTGCTGCACTCAGTAGTCAGCACCCACTATCCAAGCGACATCAATGAAGTGCCACTCTTTCCACACAAACCAGATTTCTCCGATAATTGCCCGAAGAATGCCACGAAGGACATCAATATTCTTGCAGGCCGCCTGTTTCTCGCGGTAAAAAAAAAAACAACAACGAAAGTTTCTAATGTGACCAAAAATCTTGCATTGATTTAACTACACCTGCTTTTTTGTCCGTAAGCATTTAATTACATAAGTCTAAAAACATGATCCACATGTTATCTTCAGCTTATCATCTACACACTCATACACACGCTTCTGATGTTCTGATACAGTCACACTTTCATTAAAATTCTCTTTTTTTTTACCCGCCCCCTTTTTTACGAAACACCGAAATGGCCTTCAAAATGCCTACCTCTGTTACAGCGCTCGATAGCTGCCTGATTCATTTATCTAACCTCACTGTCTCTCGTCGTTCGCAGGTTTTCACATGTTCCCGAAGCTGTCGCACATGTTTCCCGAGTCGTGCCTTCTGATCGTCATCGGCATCATCGTGGGCGTCATCCTCTACTTCGGAGGTCTCGGAGACGTCGAAGCCGCCCACCACCTGGACCCGGACACATTCTTCTTGTTCATGCTGCCTCCGATCATCCTAGACGCCGGCTACTTCATGCCAAACAGGTGAGATAGCTGGTCAACAGATGATGAAAGATTACCTTTGCCTAGGTGTTTGGTGAATGATATAAGGATGTGTCGTTTTAATTTGTAAGGTACAGGGCAGCTGCAAATGGTTCTGTATCAAGTGACGGATGTTTGATGGCGCACAAAGCACAGTGAGTTTGACGTCAGACTAGACCGGAACTGACTCAAAAGCGCTGCGAATGAGATCCGCAAACGTGTGTGACGTCATCGGCTGGGAGCCCGATGGTTAGAGCGATGCTGCCATTAGATGCATCCGTGACCCGCGGCGTGACGTCATTCACTGTCAGTGTGGTGTCTATGACGTCATTAATTTCGAACGTGTCTGGGACCGAGTGGGGGCTGTCAATCCATGATCTGAGCTCGGTGGGTTTCTCATGGCTCTGATCTCAGTCAGCTTTGTGATGCGATGCGTTATGGGCTTTCAGTGGCACAAGGGATTCATCACACGGACATCATGGGCGGCGAGCAGAGTTGAAAGGATTCGGCGAAGGCCGTACTATTGACGTGGTTGGATGACTATCTGGAAAATAGAACATCTCGCCGCAATTTTGTTTTATCTTAATTAAAATTCGATCGTGGTGTAAGCTGTAAATTATGTTCAAGAACATGTAAATTTCTGACGTGATTTGTTACCAGCTTTCATTGACTATTCAATGAAATCCAGTCAAAATTTGTCCTAGGTAGATTGTGTTCAACCGAGGAATTCATCAATCACTGTTGAGTTGCTTACCAATGCTAGCATCATTTGCATAATCATACGACTAACTCGTGTCCAGCTGCAAATTATTGCCAGTCTTCGAACCGTCCATAGTGCATCAAATTGTCTAATTTGCACATGAAAGGATGACCAGGCTGCCCAGCGTAGCCTGCTCCACAATGTCGGTTACCGACCGACCTTGGCATCTCTACGCTGACCTCTTGACCCAATCGCCAATACTGACTTTAGAGAGCCGTTAGGAGAAAAATGGCTCTGACCCGCACTATTGGAGCCTCGCAGATGCCGCGGGATATTTCTGAGGTCACGTCGTGTGATCGTTCGTCTGACCTTTGACCCTCGGAAATGACCTCCGGGCTGCGGGCGGAGACCCATCGCCGGAGGGGGCGGGATCTCTGACACGAATATGTGGATGTTGCAGACTGTTCTTCGATAACCTGGGAACGATCCTGCTGTTCGCTGTCGTCGGTACCATCTTCAACACGTTCACCATCGGTGAGTACCACTGGATAGGATGGGGCTGGCTTGCTAAAATATACATCCACAAAATCTTATAATTCCTCGTTACCGAGTAGTGACTACCCAGAAATTTCAACGCATAACATGCATTTAACTTACCTCTAGTCCTCTATGCTAAAAGTAACACTACCAAAGCTTCAACTATGACTCTCATCTATGTAGTGGGAAGATCCGCACATATTATGATATCTTGCTGCCTCCGTTTGGAAGTTTTCCGTCCTTTATTTTTATGCTCATAAAAGTAAGCATCCGGCCCCCGCCTCAATCAGAAGGAGGCCGTGTTTCCAGGTGTGGCTATCGATTGTCACAGTTCTGACTGCAGGCTGAGCAGACTGTCTCTGTTCCAAAGGTCGGTTCAGACGGGCATTATTACCTGAAGTCAGTCAGCTGAACATTCCCGTCTATACATTTCCGTTGAGTCCAGAAAAACAGCAGACGATATTACGTCGGGACAGTGACACTGCACCTTTGATGGTTATATTTAAATGCATTTTCTTCCTTACGCGACATTTGTGGTGTATTGGTAGTGCATTTCTGGATTTGCGGCTGAAGGCAATAAACTGTTTTATATGCAACTGCCAACTCACTTGGCACTTGCATCTCTGCTTCATTTACTTTGTCCTGCTCCCGGTTCCAGCGCCTATTTTGAGCCCACGTTATTCGTCATAATCCACTAGCCACGCCTGTTGCGATTCGTTCACATCATGCCTGTTGGATTGACACCATTCCTTGTAGCCAAACCGCAGTTGAGATATGTAGTAGGCTATGGGCAAGTAATTTCGGAATGGCAGTGCCAAAAGCGAGTAGATGAGACCAAACAACTGTAAGCTCGCCTACTGTAAGGTCTCAACTGGCTTCAGCTACGTCAATCTACTAAATGACCATTGACCAGACCGTGACTATAGGTTGATGCAGGCTGTAAATTGCATATAGTTGCCTAGCCGAATATCGTTTCCTGTGTTTAATTCTGTTGACATTTTTGTTTTTGGGAAAGGATGGGCTTCAAAGAGGAATGGCCTCGTACCAATCAAGCTATTAAAATCGTGACAGCGCAACATTTTCCGGCTCAAGTGCTATTTGAAATTACTGGCGTGCACCTGGAATTAGGGCTTACACAGAAATTCATCTACGTGATGTTGTCTTTCTCCTTCGAAGAATTGCGTCATACCCGTTTTGGCTGTAAACACTACGACTTACTTGTAAACATTGAGCTCAAAGAAAAACAGAGGGCGAGGAAAACTAAAACCCCGAAGCGCACCTCAAAATGGTTATCATATCGGGCAAACATGCGTTTGAAGGAAACATGATTGACTTTTTATGTCCAGGCTTATTTGACGAATGGATTGGCTATTAAGAGTGTATGCCATTTTCTAATTTCTTTCATCTCCCAACATTAACAAAATGTGTGCACCTGGAAAGTGTGTGGGTCCGACTCAACGTATTTGAAATGCTAGCCCATAAATATGTGGAAAATCATTCATATCTTGGCACCAATGACGCCGAATTATCAGTTATCGCTGAGATGAATAGCAATCAAAATATCGTCTGATGGATTCTCTGTTATGTTGCTGTCATCTCTAGGCACATATTAACAGGAATGAAAGCCACATATCTTTTACGATCCAAAGATATTGTACAATTTATACCAGCTTTTTGTTCATAGTTTAGTACGCAAATGACATGCCTATCATTCGACTGAATAATGAAGTATCGATGTAAATCATCATGACATTTCGTAGCTATGTGCTCAGAATATATAGTACCCTTCCACAACGACATTTTTATGGAACAAATCGTTGCAAAAGTAAATTGGCAATGGCCTCGAATGGAATTGCCTTTCAGCTGCTCGTCAATAAATGTACTTGTTGTTTATCGTCCCTGTCTTGCGCAATGCCGGACAACTCTCTCAGTAAAGTATTGGCTGCATGAGGTCAGTGTTTGAAAATGAGTGCGTCCTACTTATAGAACCAAATGCGAGCCAGAATGTTCCTGCTAAAACTTCCCTAGTACACCATAATAGAACTAACATCCGGGTTCTGGATCCCCCAATCGCGTTCATTTCCGCAAGTGAGATGTGTCTCTCGCGAATTGTTCAACTACTTCACCTCGGTCACAGCCCATAAAGGATGTTTGTGCCGCGGAGCAAATCAAATACGGTGAAATGGCGCTCCTGTGTGCCGAAATCGAAAGTCGATCTCTCACGGTGAATTATCCTGTCGCTGTCCGCCTCGCTCCGAGTGGATACACTGTCCCAGATTGGAGAGATAGGCAGGATTGAGAGGGTGGGCCGAGGTGAGCTGTGAGAAGGGCTACCTGATCGGTGGTCAAGTTACCTGTCGAAAAGAAAACATCATGTGTCACTTCGTGACTGCAGGTTTACCTGTGTTCGTTGTCGAATAACACAGATGTGTATTTCAATCCATTTGTAGAATGGTGGAATGATGTGTAATGATGGCATTAGAATGATGGAATGACATTGTGTTTGATAACGGCTAGAAAGCAAGTTTCAGGGGGTTCCTACTGCAGTTGGTCAAAACAGCCGACTGTTGACGTGAAAAGAAAATGCCATGAATGAATGGATGCTCGAACGTCATTGTGATCGGGGCTAGCGACTTATGACAAGTTGCAGTCTCTGAGGACAAGGCATAAAACCCATCTGTTAAGGCACATGGTTTTGCTTCATCATACACCATCATGCGTTTTGTCGTTAGATTGGACATTGAACTTCAATGATGACTTATTTCTTCCGGCAACCATTGACCTGGTACGCCGGTTCCATTCCATTTATTTCTCAATATCTTCCGTGGGCGCAGCATATCCTGCGCTCCTGGCACTTAAACCCGTTATCTTTACCGCCAATAACTTCGTCAAGCACCAGCGGCGCCTCCCCTTCCCCATATCTCCGCCGACCTTGTCTTTCAGTTGGGGCCGCTCGGCCGGCCTGGGAAGGTCGAGGTCAACACAACCTGCACCGCCCACCCGTGCACACAGATCCATCGCAATTTCAAATGTGGCCAAAACCTCGAATAACGACCATTTTTAAATTCCTTCAGTGAGTGATTTTTTAACACAAAACGGATTGAAGCATCTGAAATCACCTTCGGCATATTTTTTAACCACCTGATCTCCGCTCACCGCAGTCGTGAACCTGGAACTTCTTTGGAAGCGCATGGTAGACCCAAAAGACATGTGAAACGCGCGCAACTTTGAGTGACTGTAACATTGTAATAATTTGATCGAAACTGCAATAAATGGGCATCGCTGTGTTGCATGGTTCGTGCTGAAAATTTTGGTACCAAAAATAATGTTTTAGCTCGTCATCAATGCCATGCTAATTAGCAATGTTCGGGCACATGCATCACAGTCCGCATTTTCACTCATCGCATACTTGACAAAGGCCTACAAGAAAATCATCAATCACCCCCCAAAATTCGAATGGCTTAAAATGAGCCTGAGAACGTTCACAAACGGTTCCCGAAAGAATTAGCTGGGCATCAGTGGTCAAACGTTTGCTATGGGGGCAGAAGTGATGTGATGTCGGGCGGATTCGGCCGGCCGGCTGACCCGCGAGTCAGCGTCAGCTGTTGCTAGGCTGGGTCAGGGTCGACCGAGGTCAATATTGGCTGGTTGCCAGCGGGCGTCTGCTTGCATTTGGTGAGAGTATGAAAAGTGCAAAATATGAAATCAATCCGACGCGTTTTAATATGTGCACCTTTACTTTGAAAATTTTCACAAATGCATTGGAGGAAAAAAATCCACATGTGAAAAATTGTTATAAATTTAGGTCTATAACATGTAAAATGATGAGAGGATTCCAAATCTGGTCGCAAAATTCAAATCGGAGAACATTTGACTCCTGTTTTGGCCAAAAACTGTCCAAATTTGCCCAAATTGGATATTTTGCCTATTTTCGACGTTTTTTTTTTGCCAAAACAGGGGTCAAATGTTCTCCGATTTGAATGTTACGACCAGATTTGGAATCCTCTCATCATTTTACGTATTATAGGCCCAAATCAGTAACGAGTTTTCATTTTTGACCTCCAATGCATTTTTGAAATTTTTCAAAGTAAAAGCGCACATAGTAAAACGCGTCGGAATGATTTCATATTTTGCACTTTTCATACTCTCACCAAATGCAGCCAGACGCAGGAAGGGAACCGATGATCCCAGACAAAAGTGTTTTTTTACGAGCCCTAAAATAATCCCTCTTCAAAATTTCGCGTATCGCAAAAAATGTGGTTTAAAATGGCAGAAATATTTCTCATTTTCAAAGAGCGTGATTCATCTGCTTTCATTTGAGCCCCTTATCACATCTCTAGCTTCCGTAGTTTTTGCGCTAGAGGTTTTGTCCACATTTGAATTCGAGACGGACCTGTGTGCCGTGCCCCGCGGCGGTGGGGTGACCGCGCGCCGGCGACCGGCGGGCTGGGGGGGGGGGGGGGGTGAGGGGGGAGCACGGCCGGCAACACGACAGCGTGTCGCTTGTAGCCAGCTGACTGACAGAGCTGGAAGCGAGCGCCGTGGAACTGAGCGTAGCAATCGGTTGAGTGGCTCAAGGCAGCCAAATAACTTTGTAGTGTATATCAATATTGTGCGGGACTGACTAGTGACTATGCCTACCAATGCGAAAGTTTTCTATCAGTATATCATGTATCATTTACCTAGCTTCACAGGTGATTTGTGATCGGCAATGTCACGAAGACACAGTCTAAACCACCTGTGCACAAAGCTTCACAGGTGACGGCGCCCGCCATCGTTATTCGTTCATGACCGGCCTCCCAACTAAGGGCGTGGCTCTCTCTCTCCGGGTCGGGGCCGGGGCGGGGAGGGTGGGGCGCGGTGGGGGGGGGAGGAGAGGGGGCTGCCACACGGCCCACCGGGGTCTGCTCGTGACGGGGTGTGGACTTGGCGTGGACACGGTTCAGGGCCGCGTGGAAGCTGGAAGTGGTACGATTCTGTTCAGAGAGCAAGGAGGC